AGAGGAGGGGCAGTTTAGCAAAAGAAAGATTAAGGGCAAGTTTGTTGGACAGACAAATACTTTAGCCACCATTGACCACCATACTTACAAAAGTCATCAACCAATTAGACACAACTCTGCAGTAGAAAACAGGTCATTATGTTCCATGATTAGAAACAGACATTGCCACGAAGTTAGGTGACTCTTCCTGGGCTTCAGTAGGCATTAAGGACCATAGCAAAGCCTGAACTCCATCACAACTGCATATCATTTATTCATTCATTCATTTATTCTTTCATTCAACCAATATTTAAATGACTACCATCACCAAACATTGATTTACGTGGTGGCTGTGCATCAATATACAGCCTGAACATTGTCACCTTCATAGACAGGGAGTCATATAACCTAAAAGTAATCCCATTAAGTAAAGTGGCACAATCAGTAATGTACCTGATTCTATGAGAGGACATTGCAGGGGTGACTAACCTATTCTGGGGGTGATAATGAAGGGAAAAAATTCAGAGAAAACTTCTTGGAGAAGTAATATTTAAACTGAAGCCCATAGGATGTATAAGGTTAGCCAAGTCTAAGGGGCAGAATGAAGTCCATCAAAAATATGCAAATGCCCACCGTCAATAAGACTGTGGCGCATGAGGAAAAATGAAAGAGTTACAGATAGTCAGCCATTCTGTTTCTGCATTATTTTCACTTCCTTTCTTCAGAGAAGAGCAAGACACTCTAGCTTATCTAATTCCACTTGTCTCTACTGCTTTCCTTCCAGCCCCCTTTTTATTATCCTTGGGAAATACTGCAGTGTAGGAATCAGTGAAAATAACCGAACAGGTTTCTTTTCCATTTACCTTCAACCCATAGTTTCAAGTAATGTCCTATCTGCCTCTAAGTGTCATAGCTCCTCCAGTCCCAGGAAATGGCCTCTCAGTCTGGGAACAACAGATAAGCGCTAACAGCTGGCATTTACCCTAGAAATAGTTGGCCTTGCCTCAAGTGTGACTTTCCCTGAAATAGCTTGATGCCCTTCAGCACAGTTGACCTGAATCAGAATTGTGTCCTTTCCTATGTCTCCTTGCTAGATATGAGATGAGCTGCTACTAAGCTCTGTCCAAGTCATCGGGGCCATGCATAAAAAATAAAAAATTGAGCATGACTAAAATGAATAATCTATTATCAGGTTCATTTGCATAATTAAGCTTGTTCCAAAAAATTGGCAGAGCACAAACCAGCCAAGTGGCATTGCATAATATCAACCACAAAGTCCTGGAATGTGATTTTACCAAAACACAATGAAGTCGGAGCTCTGTGTGTGCAGATTAGATAAATGCATCAGTTCAGTGACTGGAGAACAAACTACATGCTTAGAATTTTTTAAGGTAGCTTCTTTTTATTCAGAATAATGTAACTTCTGACCCAGAAGGAGGGTTTGGGAGAGGCAGCTGAAACCAAAGCAAGAGGCCATGCTGGTTGTCAGAAGACTTGAGGCTCAGTTACCTCTCTGATGTGTTTCACAGCCTCTATCCAGACACATAGCAGTGTTTGCTTCCATTTCTTTATTTCTAAAATGGTGGAATATGGTTTCTCTACCTACCTAATAGATTGCGAAAAGCGTAAAAAAAACAACTTTTCTGCCCAGCTCCCAACCCAGTGAAGGAACACAGGCAGGCTCTAACTGCCCATCTCCTCACCCTAGAGCTGGTGGTGGGCACAGGTTTGCAGTGTGCTCTGCAGGAATTCATCCTGAACTGGAAGAGCTGTCCTTCTGACTGCTCTCTCTGTCAGTGTCTCATTGAGATGAGCTTCCAAGCCAGCAGCAAGCAGAGGCCCGGTGCTCTAAATCAGTGCTTCTTGTAAAGGAGCATCTAAGAGGGAAATATGGGTGAGAAAGCTGGTGTGATCTCCTCTGGTAATCTATAAAGCCAGAAGCTTGAGAGTCAGGGTATCCTAGTGCTGAGGGAAAAATTGTCAGTACTCAAAAAGCCCCAGAATTCTTCATTTTCTTTCCACTTGAGCCTTTCTGCAACCCCCAGAGGAGAAAACAGGCAGCAGGCCAAGATTGATGATACAACTGCTCCTGTTTGGTTTTGTGAGAAGTGATTCTATCAGACGTAAGCAGGATCCATCTGTGACATGTGACACCCACTGGTTATCAGAGCTGATTTAGTTTCCCACACTTTGCACTGAGGCTGCCTGCTGGGTCAAAGAAGATAACCCTCTTAGATAATGAGAACCACTCTTCTGTCCACACTGTATGATATTCACACATCACTAATTTAAATGGCACCATCGAATTCATTATTGCTAGCAGGTTTCAAATCACTAAAAATGGCTTCATAGAACTTCATCTTCAAAGGGTTTCTTTTTTTTCAATCTCTGATCAAATTCAGTTATCCAGATCAAGTTGTGGTCTTCTGGGGTGTATCTCCTTCAGCAGAGTGAGGAATTGTTGGCGATAATGCAATGGACCCCAGGGAAGAACAAGAAACGTGAGAGTGGAGAATGATGGTGCCAGTGAGCATGGGGTCTGTTCAAGCTCTGCAGAACCTGGTGAGGAAGTCAAGGTGGGAGGAGCCCTATGAGGTCAGAGGTCAAACATCGGCATTCTGGGTCCCTCAGAGCAAGTCTGTGCCTGGAGAGTGAGACGGTGCCTCAAGGGGCTCTGTGTCTGCTTCTTTAAAAAGTGGCGAGCAAGATATAGCCAAAGAATTGGAATAGGAGAAGTAAAGAGAAGAAAAGCAGAGATGAGTGTGGAAAAGATGAGAAGAAAAGGAACTAATATTACTGATTTCTCCACCGTGCCTTTTCTAGCAGCTACAGAAGTTGAAAAGGAAGGAGAAAGAAAAGGAAACTTCTGACAGAGGCGGTAGGAGAAGGGTGCCCACCGTGTAAGGATTCACTGGGATGCTCTAAATAAAAGGATACAAAATGCCACCTGGCAAGACAGTACATGGTAGGAATGCCTGTCATCAGTTCCACTGGGATGGCCCAAAGACCTTCAAATCCCTGGAAATCAGTCATTCAGTGAGAACTACACAGCATTAGAAAAGTCGGATTTTGAAGAGAGCATTAAAGGAAAAAGAATGAGCCAATAAGAGAGCATACTTTGAAAGCTAAGGTTAAAAACATGTTTTTTTCCCCTCCCCAGGGAGGAAACAATTGCTGTGGGGAGGCATTGTGACTGTTTTCAAAGGCACTGTGATGGACTGGCTGTTTCAAAGGCATTGTGATGGACTGGCTGTCTCAGTAAAAGGGGTTGCAGACGTAGAGTCTCAACTTGGGAATGAAAAAACTGAAAGGCAACAATGAGAAATATTCACCAGATACTTTCAACCACCTAAGATTAAAGCTATTATTAAGAATAGTAAATATATGCTAGAGTTGGGGCCTGAAGACCATCTGAGAGCTTTGTATGACCAGAAAAAAATGTTTCTGTTATAAAAGATACTCCAGGTTTGTACAAAATTCCTTCCTTCTTTGACACTCATAGATTCTAGCTATTGTACCATTTACCCTTTCTCATCTCTGATCTGTTGACCTCCAGCCTATGGACTTTCTTCACTGAAGATCTTGGCTGTGGCCCATGATCTAAACAGGTGAAAGAGACAGAGAAACCACCAGGCAATTACAACAGAATGTCATCCATGCTTTGCTCTTGCTGGGGAGCCACAGGAAGAGCGTCTAATAGGTTGTCATGCAAAGCTTTCTGGTACAAAGATATCTAAACTGGGATTTACAAGACTGAGTATGAGTCAGCAAGCAAAGGTGGTGATGTGTGGGAGAGGAACCACGTTCCAGACAGAGGAAATGTTTACAAGCATTCAGAGGCAAAAGGGGGCATGGCATGTGTATATGGGGGTTCCAAACATCATTCAGAATGGCCAGACTCAGTAACTGATGGACTATATGTAATTGTTGAAGGAGAGGACGTGTGAGGATAATGTGCAAGTTTGGGTTTGAACAATTAGGGGAGTGTCTGCATCATCTACTGACAAGGGAATGTCAGAGGAAAAGGAAAAGTAGATGAAAAGATATGGTTTAATTTAGGATGAGTTGAGCCCTATCAGTGTGACACCCCCATAGAGATGTTGAATCTTCCTCACCATCACTTCCCACCTCCACCTGCCAATACACAAGAACATATAAATGGTTTGTTACCTGCCTAAGTCTGCTCATCCTCCAAGGCTCAGCTTAAGTGGCACCATTTCTAGAAATTATCCCACACTGCCCAACCATGTAAACCCATGCCACCCCACATTTACCTCTATTGTAATATCCTGAGCTGCAGTTTCCTCTCTGCTTAAGTATCTCCCCAATTAGTCATAAATCCCCTATGGATGGGAAGTTTATTGTGTGTTTTTTTAAAGCAGTAGCTTGAACAAATGTGTGATTTATCTCATTTATCATTCACATTTTAGTTTTCTTTTTAAGCCTTCTACTATCTGGAATTTCTAAAGCTATATCTAAGACAGTGCATTTCTTTCTTCTTCTTTATCTTCCTTAATACAATAAGTTAATCATAGCACAATATGCTAATAACATCACTTAAAACACTGTTCTGACACAACTTTTGCCTTTCTTTTGCATCCCCATGTTTAACAGATGCTAAATAGGTACTTGTTAAAATTTAATGAATGATAACTTGCATGCAGAGGCAAAGCAGAGTTAATAAACTAACATTTTAATAGCTTTTCAGGAGGCAACTGTCTTCTGTTAGGAAAACTAAATCTGTACATTTACACTTTGGAAGTGTGCACTGCAACAGAGAATTAACTAGACTCCTATTGCTATGAATCAAGCAGGAATTTGGGGGCTTCAGGACAGAAAGGAAGTAGAGTAAGAGGGAGAGGAAGAGACAGGAAGCTGAGCCGTTTGGTGGGGGAAAGGTGCCCACTGAGGAAATCCTGAAGGTGCAATGGCTGGATGTGTTTGTTTGTTTGTTTTAATAGGACTATCTACTATAAAATTTCAATTTATGACACTAAGCATGCAATCTTTCTGTTTCCTAGCTCATCTACAGATCTACCTATCCTCAAATGCCTTATGTGGGAAGTTTTTGTGAAAGTGCATTCCTTCTCTAGATCAAATTGAAGAACAAAGAGAAAGAATAGCCATGAGAGAAATGTGAGAGAAGCAAAGTAAAGACCTTACTGAGAACAAGACTCAAATCTAGAGACCAAGGAAAGGTGAGCCTAAGGGACTCACAAGAACTGGATACCTTCAAGATATGGATGAGCAGTTGAGGTCATTTTATTTAACTCTCTGGTGGTCAACTTTATGTGTCAACTTAACTGGGCCACAGGGTGCCCAGATATTGGTTAACATTATTCTAGATGTTTCTGTGAGGAGGTTTCTGGATGAGATTAACATTTCAGTTGGCAGACTAAGTAAAGCAGATCGCGCTCCCCTATGTGGGTGGACCTGATTGACCACGGGCCCATCTGTTGAAGGCCTGAGTAGGACAAAAACGCTGAGTAACAGCAGTTCATTCTCCCTGCCCATCTTCAGGCTGAGCTGTCAACCTACCTCTGCTTTTGGGCTTGGTCTCAGACCAAAGCGTATGCCAGGGGCTCTCCTGGGTCTCCAGCTTGCCAACTCACATCTTCAGACTCATCAGCCTCCATAGTCACATTGAACCAATTCCTTATTTTATCTCTATATAAAATACATGTGTGTGATTAACATATAAAATGAGGAATATGTATATATAATTGTGTGATGAAAATAAAATCTAACCCTGTTTCTCTGGAGAACTCAGACTAATACACGTTCCTTCTTTGTAATCCCTGGGCCACAAACACCCTGCTCAGACACATTTCCTGAGAGCTGGCCATAGTAATGGGACAGCAGCCAGAGCACCTGAATGAGCTGGGAGCTCCTTCTCTCAGACTGAACAAATACAGGGAGGACACATGGGCCAATAAGAATACAGTAAGATAAGACTCCGGGAGTGGTTCAAGAACCAGAAAGAAGAAACTTTATGTTCAAAGAGGAAAAGCGGTAAAATCTAGGGATGAATAAGAGCTACGATGGGGAAATGATAGAGATAAAATTGTTCTTACACAGGAAAGAAGATAAAAATACTTCCTCAGTAGGAGCAGCTTTATCAAAAACCTAGAGATAAAGAATGGGAGAGGAGGGAAAAGGTGCATTAGGGTTAATGTGAGAGAGACCACAGACAATGTGAGCAGTAAGCCCATTGTAGGTAGAAACTGAGCCCAAAAGAATGTGGAATACATGGCCCTGAAGGAGGGCAAGGAGCACAGCAAGAGATGAGGAGAGAAGACTGCTCAGAGGGTAACTACCAGAGTAAGGAAAAATCCCCTGAATGCGGGACAAACACAATTCAAAGTAGGAACACAGATGTAACCCAAGTGGCAAAGGAACTCAGTTGTGTTGCCCATGAGAGAAGAAAATACTAGTGTAGTTTCTGTGAGAGAAACAAAGTGGGGCCTGAAGAAGGAAACTGGCTGCCCCCTACGGTCTGCACCGGAGGCTCGCTGCTCGTGGATCACACAACTCAGTCACAGTTCTAGTGGTAACAGAAAGCAAGCCCAGCAGGCTTAGAAAGGGGAAAATATTTTCATTAGTCGGATACTGAGATAGCCGGTTCTCAAAAGGCATTGGAAGCAGTAAATAATTACCAAGAAAGCTAGCCATGCTCTCTCTCCATCCCCGGCTTCTCTCCGAGCTTTCGCTTCCTGATCCCAGCCCAGAAGGTGGCCGAAGACAAGCTGCCTCACCGCTTTATGAGCAGACATCAGCTCATTTCCAGGCATTCACAGAGGCTGACTCACAGATAGAAAATATGACTGCACATCTAGATCAGGTGTTTTGGTGAAAGGGTAGAGTCAGACTACACAAAATTGTTTCCAAAGACTCCTCCTTACAGGTGGGGATGATTCTCAGAGAATTAAAATTGTTCTGACCTAAGCATCACCCTAGAGGTCACTTCTGCAATGGACAAATGGAAACATCAAAATGACAAGGTAAGAAGAAAATATATTTAAAGTATATGTAAATAATATCACACAGACAAGATCAGAAGAAGGGATGCTGATAATTAAAATACAGAAATAAATGTAAGCGTGTAAAACATTGTGTGATGAAAATAAAATCTAACTAGTATTATTTTTTTCTGCTTCTGCTGCCTAGTTAGCTGTGGATCTTCAGCTGTAATGTGATGCTACTTGGTGAAATAGAAGCTGTAATTACTAAACAAGAAAGACTGAGTCCTTTCCAATGCCAACTCTTATTCTTATTGTGATCCTAGCTGCAAGACTGGCTGTGGGTTGGGGACCTTTGCCATGTCACCCTTATGAGGCCATAGTGGAGACTTTGCCTCCAGACAAACTATGCTAAAAACAAACAAAAATAAGATAAATAAAAACTGATGCAAGAATGAGAGACAAAGATTGAGTCCCTTTTTTAAAGGCTCAGAAGAGATTTACTCAACAAATCATTAAAGACTATATGAATAAAATAGAAATTGATGGATTTCTTAAATACATTTTTGAGAGAATGTTTACCAGAGGAATTAGTACAACAAAAGGCCATGTTGGGTATCTTCCAAAACTAGTTGCTGGTAAAATCACTGTACGTTCAGTAGTGGAATATACTCTTGAAGAAACAAGGATTTTTGGAGAAGGAAATAGACAAAAGACTTGGTACTTATTGGACAAAGTCATGGAAATTAATGGCATTTGCATACACAGAAGGATCATATTAAAAGAGATATCAAAAAATAACTTTATATTCTTATATCCCATTATTTTCCAATAAGAATTAAAAGTGATTTATAAAATTCCTGAGCCATTGGAAGATAGATTATTAAGTAAATGAGTAACCACAAAGGCATGGGGGGATATAGCTGAATCCAAGAATGAGATTAATTACAAAGCAGGAATGAGGTTAAATTTTGTAATCATGTATTTTCTATAAATGGAGCATAAATTTATCTCAAGGATTTTTAGCCAACAACAAAAATAGGGAAACTTTATCAATTACATAATCCACGATGTGCACAGGATACAAAGAGAACAACTTTGCAGGAGAAGCTCAACCATTTCTAGTAGAGTGTGATTGCATTTTATGAGAATTTTAAATAATACAATATAACACTAGTTCTAAACTCCCACTTTTTGCAAGAAATTTGAAATAATGTAGTTCCCCCAATTTTTTTCTTAATTCATAAAAAAATGCGTAAGTTCACAATTGTTCTACCAAGTGAATTATAAACTGTGTTCATGTTATTGTCTCCTAGTGTTGCCAGCTTAGGTTGCAAGCAGAAATATCCACTATCCTCTATCACATTCAATTTTGAACTATGAGTATATTAAAATATGCACAGAATTCATGGGATTGTCTCTGTCCCCTATTGAAGCCATCCTGTACTAAGACAAAACAGGAATTTCTACCTACAGTTCGCATATAAAGATGTTGGGTAATGAAATAGACACTATCCTCATTAGTATCTTTTGCAGTTCGCCTAACAAGGTGTTATGTGGGCTCTTTCTTGATGGGTCCCAATATATTTGCCGATTCCCTCACTCCAAAGTTCAGATTCTAAAAGGGGCCAGTGCAGAAAATCCAGGATTGTAGTACTCTGCTCCTGTTATTGAATCAGGGACTGATGTAAGATTATCTAGAAAAGAATATGGACTATACATTTTTCAGGCTATCTTCCATAATTAGCCAAGATTTTCACTTATGTCACATGGTTCAAAGCTACAGGTAAAAGTCCTTGGCATCTATATTTTTCCAGATTCTTTTGGTTATAAGGCATTAAAACCTAACTCTAACCAGTTTGAGCTGAAAGAGGGAATTTTTTAGTTCACTTAATTCAACTATGGGAAGGGTAGAGTTGTCCTCAGGTACAAATGGGTCCAAGAGTTAGCTTACCATCCAAGACAATCTCTCTTCTTCTCTGTCTCTTATCTTTGCATGTGTCTCCATGTTGGTTGGCTTCATTGTCTTTTACTACCTTCTTTTCCAAGTGATGAGGTCCTGAACTCATATATCAATCAGTTGCTCTGCCATTGAAGAATGGAGTTCTTTACAGCCAGGAATAGTCATAAATGTTCCGGGGAAGGACACAACTGGCCTCACTTGGCTCAAGTGTACAACTCTGAACCAATCACTAAGGCCAGGATGACAGTTAGTTGATAAATTGTGGGACATCCATAGGATTGACTACCATGTGCCTGTTTAAAATATTTTTGAGCAATACCTAACTGTATGGAAATTGCTCAAGATAAAAATTAAGTGCAAAAAACCCCCCACATTTCCAAAAGTACATACTGTATGATCTGAATATATGGATATTTCTTAATAAATGTATATATTAAACTAGAAGCCAGAAAGTAACACAACATATTACTGATGGCAGATGGTCAACAACAGTTTTATGCTTTGTTCATCATACTTATGTTTTCCAAATCCTCTACAATAAATGTGTACTACCATTTTAACTAAGAAAATATTATTCATATTTTTATAAAATAATTTAAATTTATATTAACACAGAGACACATAGGCAACTCAATTCCCAAACTCTTACTCTACCAGGCACAATTCATGAAATTTACTATGTAGTTCAAGTTAATTCCTAAAGTATCCAGATACCCACAATAAACTCTTTTAAGATATATACCACACTAACTAGACATGGTAACTTGCTATGGAGACTATTGTCTATTTAATCATGTATGTATTAGTCAAAGATGTGCCAGGCTCTCAGCTAAGTCATAAAGATGCAATAATGAACAATTCAAACATCTTCCTATCCTCGTGAAATTCACATTCTGGTACGACAGACAAAAGCAAGAGAACTGAAAAACCAAATGACAATTCTAGTAAGTGCCGTGAAGGAGGAGAAAGTTCTTTATAAAGTATTACAGGGGATCATATTTTTATGGTGAGTGTAGACCTCTCCTGGGAGGTTGGCATGTAAGCTAGAAGGAAAGATGAAAAGCAGAGGCCAACATATATGAAAGCTTGGAAGCAGGAACATGTTTGTAATGTTACTAGAGCTGAAAGAAGATTGATGCCAAGTGAACAAGGAGCAGGGATACAAGTCTAGAGAGACAACATCTATAACCAGGTGAAATCTGTGCACAGATGCCAAAATCATAACTACTTTTGGCATAACTGATCCATGGACCTTCTCCAAAGCAGGGCCAACTGTCTGTTGAGGCTGTGGTTTGCTTTGACAATGAAACCACTATCTGTCTGTAAGTAAGATGTTTGTCAAGAGGAATGTTGATTTTTGATCTTGAGGGAGTTTTCACAGGTGTGCTGAGTACAGAAGCCTTGACTAGGGTAAAAAGAGTCAGAAGAAGAAACAGCCAGGAAACCAAAATTAAAGAAAAGAGAGGGAACAGAAATAAAGTAAAATAATGAAGTTAAAAAAAATTGAGCATATGAGAAATGAAGGAACAGTGCAAGGTAAAATGGAGTGCATGATTGTTTAACTATAATTGTTCTCATGTAATACTCCCTTCTATTATCAGTTTAATGTCTCTATAATACATTTGTTCTATTATTAGGAAAGAGGCAGAGCATAAATACTAAATGTGATATACAAAGCTTTTTTAATCCTCTGAGAATATACACTAAAAAATAAAATATAACATATAAAATATAATGATCAAATGGAAAGAAATATAAAAATGAAGTGAATAGGGAGATAAGTTTCTCCAAAGCATTCTCTCCACCCCCACAATCACAGACCCTCCCAGGGACTTCAGAGAAGAACAGAACCCTATCTAGTATTCCGGGAATATATACAATTCTGAAATAGAAACTCTTTGGCTTGTTAAGTATTATATTAAAGTCTTCCCAAGTCATGTAAACTGTTGTTCAGTGTCTGGGATCTCCTCTCAGTCTGTTGTTTATAAAAAGGAAGATGAAATAGTCAGGTTAATAAATTATATAAAAAGAGTTCATCTATTCATTGACATCAAAAAGGCTAATTAGTTGAAAAATACTGAAAGACAATGAAACTGATCTTTCTGTATTAGGCTGCAAAAAAAAAAAATTAGCATGAGCTCCTACATCCTAATCCAATTCTGAATTGGTTGGCAGAGAAATCAAACACAGTTCTGTCTTCTGCAGAACATCCCATTGCTCTTTAAGGAGTATGTAATACTCTGGTTGTAATGAGAGCTGCATATGGAAACCTCCCAAAGGTAAACAGAAGAGGGACATTTGAGGAATTGGCTAGTGACTCCAGAGGCACTGGGCTAAATCGAGATTTCCTAAATGGAGTAAAGAATTATTATTAAGGAATAACATAAAAATTCTGCAGAGACCTGGTATTATTATAAGGAAACCAAATAGGCCAAACAGCAGAGAACTTTCAAACCTCTCTTCCCCGCTATCTGCAGAGGCTCCACAAGGCAGAATGGCTGGGAAGTGTCAGGCATTTATGTAATGTTCTTCTTGCCCCAAATAATTGCTTTAAAAACTACCTGTAATATCACCTCCCTGATGAAAATCAGTCATGCTGGCACCCTAAACCTCTTTGTGGTTTTGTGAATCAAAGAAAACTCCCAGGGCATGACAAGATGTCTGAGTAAGACAGAATCTGAACCCATCCTGTTTCCTTCTTTGTTATGTGGATTGCCATGGTGAGGGGGTAGAAGGGTGGCAGAAGAACTGGGGCGGCTGGGTGGGTGGGATACTGTACCACAGTGGCCATTACCATCCCCAGTGAAAACTCCGAGGAATCTTTCATTTCATTCACCACAAAACTGCACGTGATCACAGCTACTCAAACAGAAGGAATAGGAACTACTACCTAAAAGAACCTGTTTCTATGTCCTCATTTCCCTTGCAGTAGCCAAATCAAATCTCTGCAGAACAGAACCCCAAAAAGTAAGATGAATGAATTCATTTAACCAAACCAACAGCAGTTTTGTGAAATTCAGACCAGACACCTTCAGTTGCCTCAAATGAACGACCTGGGACCCATGGCATATGAATGACTACTTCTGCTCCCCACTCTTCAACCCTGGCATACCCCAAATGGAGTTGCCACAGGCCTAGACTTGAACCTGGTAATACAGATAACTCTGATGAGAAGAGAAACACACAGGAGACCCAGCCAGGCCTGTGTCCCCACCTTTACCATCAACTAAGAATGCTTATGGCCTTGAAGGTTAGAAATATCTCCTCACAGGCCTTCAGGGGAGCACTATTTTATTAATGCCCTGTATTCTTGGTGTAGAGCCCCAGGGCAGGCCACCCCAAAATGTGCCACTTTGGCATATCAATTCTTTTTAATTAAAAGTTACCCTTATCACCAGAGACAGGGAACTCAGAGCCAGGAAAGCTACATAAACAAATCTAGTACTTCTACCAGTTTACTACCCGAGCCTACATTCTGTTTAAAATCACTTACCA